GTCCACTTTCTTATTAAAATCGTTCGTTCCTTTTGCCCCACCGCCTCCCCTTGCCTTGGCAACGTCAATATCTGATTGGGTAATTGTATGAAATACGTCATCTACATCATAAATGTCACGTGGAATATCTTGGTTGGCTTCCCGTCGAACCTCAAGAGCTTGTTTCGATTCCACGCGAGCTCGATACCGCTGAGCAGCTTGCTTGCGGACCATCCGACGATACTACATGTATGATAAATTGTGGGCAAGACTTAGAAAGTGTTATGATCCATGATAGAGAATGTGTGTAAAAATGACTGTTATACAAGCTTACCTCGTTTGGTGATCGGTAATGTGGGTTTTCATACAATGTTGCTCCTCCAAAACTTCCCTCAAACACTCTTATAAGGTTTAATACAACTCGAGGACCTGAAATATAGATGCAACCACAATTAAATCAAAATAAAGTACGCCATAAACTAACTTCTATTAGTTTTATGTACAAATGACTAAATTAACCATTATCTCCCATGAGTGACCAAGAAAATAGTTTTCCTTACAATATTGATACAATATCAAGAGGACAAGTAATGATAATAAATTCGCCGATTGATTATTAGCTGCTCCAAAGCCAAATTCTCTGAAGTACCAGCATAGGAAATTTATGGCAGACAGAAAAGAGAATAACTAAAGAGATCTTGGGAGAGAAAAGATTCGTGAAAGAAAAAAACATACCAATTTCCAGCAGTGATCCATCTTCCTCGACTATCTTTGGAGAAAAAACAGTTTGCAAAGGCTGGTGTTTTTCAAATGAAACTACAAGATTGTTTGTTTTTCAGATTCCGTACCCACAAGTATTTAAGTATTTTATCTACCTGGAAATTTCTAAACCAAATTCTGTTGTCTTCTACTGAGAAAGATAAAACATGATCTACAAATGGTTTGCTCTTGGGGTGAAAACAAGGAGTACTAAAAATCTGCGAACAAAACAGACAGACAAGTAAGAAAAAGCACAAAAATACAGTGCTAATAATAGATGTGAAAAAATTATGCACATCTGATTGGCTGAAAACAAGTACATTTTTCATGCTAAACGATTGCAAAGTTGTAAGGTTGTCAAAATTTTGTCTGTCTTAATTTTGTCTGATGCTTCTATCATGTAAACTATTAGCAAGTATCCACACAAGGTCTCATGCAATTTGGTGCAAAGAAGCACATACAAATTTTTCAGACTACAAATTGCGCTCACCCTACAGGCTCGTGAAATTTTGTTGTCATTGAAAAATTTGCTTGTGCTTATTAACACCAAATTGCACTTATAATCATAGTATTACCTATACACAGAGTGTATAATGAAAGTGTAGTGTGATCTTCTGGGTGAGTGTAGTTCTGAGAAGGACTGTTGTCAGTGGTGGTGACTGACGTGTATGGAAGTCATCATCAGAGTCAGTGAAGAGTTGTTGTCAGTAGAATGTTCTTAGTCCAGTTCATGCAAAATGATTGTTCAGAGTGTACAGTATATACATGATAAAAAAGAGAAAGTCTGTTGTCCAGCCAAGTGGCTCACCCAGCCAGATCCTATTCCAGAGTATCTATTTCCTGTATCTATTTCCTGTAAACATGACCCACCTAGATTAGCTTAGCTACCTGTGGGCATGTTACTGTACTTTTATCCCAAAACATAATAAAATGTATGTAAAAAATGTAACAGAGTCTGCAACATGAACTGACTAAGAGTGTCGCTTCTCCCCCCTGAATGGGATACCCTAACATTGCACCCATCCTCTCCCCCAGAATTTTATCATGTTTCCCTGAATTTTTTTTTTAATTCCTTTTTTTTTACACCACGTAATACAATAACAATGAAAGAACTAGTGTCCATTAGTGTTGTTAAGTACCACAAAAAGCTTTATACTTGAAGTACTGTAATGTAATTAGTAATATCATAAGTGACATAACATAGTTATACTATTAGTGAAGCAACATAATCAGTAATTAGTGGTATTGCAACTA